TTCTAAATAAAATTGTACGCCACTGCTTTACGGTATGATATCTTCGGGTTCGTCTTCCAATTTTCTACAAATTACTACTCTCTTATGTTTTTCGAAAAAAGCCTGATTTTCGAGTAATGCAATGCTGCCAACCACATATTACTAAATATCTCCATTAGCGCCTAATTCAAAAAGTTCAGTTATTTTATGAACAAACCTCGTATAGACCAATTTCGATAAAAATTTGTCGCCCGCAATAGGCGTTGCATTCGGCGCCGCGACTCGCTCTTTTCGTTATTATTATTCAACGAACTATTTACAAATTTAATTTTAAATTATAGTTTATAGTAATATCAATAATAATATACATCTTAATTACACTGATTTATTTATTTATTATAATTGGATAAAATTGTACGGGCTACCATTATGAAAGAAATATTAGAAATCGTTTTAGGAAAAAAAAGTCTTCTTTTATTTTCAATAAACTAATTCAAGCTTTCCGAATATACTTTTTTAGTAAAGTGCGTATCGTACTATTTCATAAGACTCTGTCGCAGAAACAATTTTCATTAAACCCTATTCAATTCAACCCCTGTGTTCTGAAAAATAAGAGCAAATCTCAATTGTTCGCCACCCCCTACAGACCGTAATACTTTTTGATGCCACGAGAGTTACCTACTATTTTCGGCTTTGTTACGTTTCACTTATTCTTTTCAAATTACTATTATTTGTTAAGCTGCACCCTCCATTCAATTTTATTTGCTTTCTCGCCCTCTCATTACTGACGAATTTGTGTCGGTTGCTGGTCAAAAATCTCTCAAAGACGATGTAAGTAATGACAAAGTAAATATTGTACGATGCGTTTATGGAAAAATATAGAAATGAACGAACTCATGACAATTGACGTCATTAGTATTTTTTATGTTGTAATGTTCCCTCTGAAAGTTACCTCTAGTTCATAATGTGGGATTTTCAGACAAAAATAAGTTTAGTTTTTAAAAACTAATCCACCTACTCATCGCCACAATTTGAAAAAACATGTAAATAGTGTAAATTCAAACAATTGATTAATTGTTTGGTTAAGTATAGAGCTGTTAAAAAAAGAATTGGAAAGAAGTATAGAATATGAACAGAAACCATGGCGAAAGTTAAAAGTGAGTGGATTGATTTGGGTTTAAACAACACATTTAAAGTCAGCAATTCAAAAATAAATCAACGACTTTAATGATAAAGTTTGAACGGGTCAAACTTGATCCGGTCGTGTGAGGAAAATCACTCATGTTTCCAACCCACCACCAAAAATCAACTCAGCCCACGTTCGATGGACATGAAGCATGTAGTGACAGCCACCTAGGCAACGAAGATTGAAAGGACATCTGCGAGACACTTAAGGAGGTTTATCGGGTACGGATGTACGTCTAAAGTCTAACGAAAGTTTCTGTAGATTCGCTAGTGACTAAAGCACTTGGCTGGCCGCGCTCGGCTCGGCGTTCGCTCGCTCCCGTTCGATCATGCTGTTTGTTTGGACACCTGCGAATTTTAAATAATACGCTACGTCGAGACCGCGGCGTTGCCGCTATCACGCATATGGAGGATAAGTTAGTCAACGACAGCAGTTTGAAGGAGAATTATTATAATTATGTATCTTACAGTACCTAATCGATTTCTACAAGCTGTCATACGGTTCCCTAGATATCGGTTTCCTATTTATACACAAGTTGCTCTACACAAATGTAAAGAATCAGCTAGATTCCATGATAGATCGAGACGATCCCAATCCAAAGGGGCTATAAGTTAGGCACCGCAGAGAAGACCCAGTTCAGAACTTGGCAGAACCGTGCAACCGTGCGACTCTGGTTTACTTCGAATAAAAAACCAGTGTCAAATGTCTGCCCATGACTTTCCAAATTTCATACGATTGCTTTGTACGATCAATACACCATGTAACCACTTAGAAACCTGTATTTCAAATATTCCAATTAAACTTTTATTAGCGATACAAATCGTTGTTAACCGCGGATCTGCGGTCGATTCAAGATGACTATTAGCAAAAAGAGACATTGAAATAATACGAAAAAGGTATCAAGCACAAAAAATTAAAGGTGTTCCAAAAAACAAACAGTGAAAATAGCCTCAATTGAAACCAGATAACGCCAACCAAAGGGTGTACTACTTATAAGTTTTAGGCAACGAAAAGAACGTGTCCTACTCTTTACAACATCAGGTCTAAATTGTCGGCTTTAAGAAGGAAAGTCATTCACCAAGAATCTCTCAGTATCGTGCATGTAACAAGTATACGCTGCGCTATTAGAAGGTTCTGAAGTAACCCAATTCCTTGCGGTCGAGGCTACTATCGAGGCAAAGGCCAGTAGAGAGAGAGGGATATGACAGTCCCCCAAAGAAAAGTTGATCAACTAAGTTGAAATAAAAGTTCTCACGTCCAGTTTTATTCAACCTTCATTGCTCAAAGCAATTGGTCAACTAATACTTAAAGGAGCACTCTCATAAATCATTCAAGTCGTTGCATCATTTTTGAATCGCTGACAAGTTAAAACGTTCTTGAAGTGTGTCAACCTAGACTCGTCCACCTACTTTCAAATTACCCCACGTTTTCTGCGTGTATCTTTTCACATATGATAGTTTTTTCAGTTCTTCTTTTAACAAACGGCTATTATCTCTATCTACACCTACTCGAACGACTGCAATCAACAAAATTTTAAAACGAAAACTGTCTATCAGTGTTCAAGTAGGATTACGCCGTTTTACTTTTAATACGCTCTACATCTGTTTTAATCAAATTTTAATTAATAAAGTAAACATCGACTATTATCGACTAACAGTATTTTGCTCTTGTATAAACATTTATGCCCGTATGTTGCTATGAGTACCCAAGAATTACTGCAACATTTCAGGAGGAAATTATGGATCATTTGACATATAGTCTGTATTTTGCANCTGCGAATTTTAAATAATACGCTACGTCGAGACCGCGGCGTTGCCGCTATCACGCATATGGAGGATAAGTTAGTCAACGACAGCAGTTTGAAGGAAAATTATTATAAATTATGTATCTTACAGTACCTAATCGATTTCTACAAGCTGTCATACAGTTCCCTAGATATCGGTTTCCTATTTATACACAAGTTGCTGTGGAAACTGTTCGTTAATTGTTGCGCATTCTAAGTGGAAAGACCAAAAAAATCTGCATTCTCATAGAACTGCACTAAATCGTGAAAAATTATTTTATTAATATCTCGTCTCTTAGGTATTCAAACTAGTCATATTTTTATTGAGGATTTTCTTCATATTAATAAGCTTATATTATTTTTTTTATGAATATTTGTTCATCAATTCCAAATCACATAAACCTCCTTAAAAAGAAAGCAATACAGTTTTGAATTTACATCAGGAACGCACGCAAGGGACCAAGTTGCTCTACACAAATGTAAAGAATCAGCTAGATTACATGATAGATCGAGACGATCCCAATCCAAAGGGGCTATAAGTTAGGCACCGCAGAGAAGACCCAGTTCAGAACTTGGCAGAACCGTGCAACCGTGCTACTCTGGTTTACTTCGGATAAGAAACCAGTGTCAAATGTCTGCCCATGACTTTCCAAATTTCATACGATTGCTTTGTACGATCAATACACCATGTAACCACTTAGAAACCTGTATTTCAAATATTCCAATTAAACTTTTATTAGCGATACAAATCGTTGTTAACCGCGGATCTGCGGTCGATTCAAGATGACTATTAGCAAATAGAGACATTGAAATAATACGAAAAAGGTATCAAGCACAAAAAATTAAAGGTGTTCCAAAAAACAAACAGTGAAAATAGCCTCAATTGAAACCAGATAACGCCAACCAAAGGGTGTACTACTTATAAGTTTTAGGCAACGAAAAGAACGTGTCCTACTCTTTACAACATCAGGTCTAAATTGTCGGCTTTAAGAAGGAAAGTCATTCACCAAGAATCTCTCAGTATCGTGCATGTAACAAGTATACGCTGCGCTATTAGAAGGTTCTGAAGTAACCCAATTCCTTGCGGTCGAGGCTACTATCGAGGCAAAGGCCAGTAGAGAGAGAGGGATATGACAGTCCCCCAAAGAAAAGTTGATCAACTAAGTTGAAATAAAAGTTCTCACGTCCAGTTTTATTCAACTTTCATTGCTCAAAGCAATTGGTCAACTAATACATAAAGGAGCACTCTCATAAATCATTCAAGTCGTTGCATCATTTTTGAATCGCTGACAAGTTAAAACGTTCTTGAAGTGTGTCAACCTAGACTCGTCCACCTACTTTCAAATTACCCCACGTTTTCTGCGTGTATCTTTTCACATATGATAGTTTTTTCAGTTCTTCTTTTAACAAACGGCTATTATCTCTATCTACACCTACTCGAACGACTGCAATCAACAAAATTTTAAAACGAAAACTGTCTATCAGTGTTCAAGTAGGATTACGCCGTTTTACTTTTAATACGCTCTACATCTGTTTTAATCAAATTTTAATTAATAAAGTAAACATCGACTATTATCGACTAACAGTATTTTGCTCTTGTATAAACATTTATGCCCGTATGTTGCTATGAGTACCCAAGAATTACTGCAACATTTCAGGAGGAAATTATGGATCATTTGACATATAGTCTGTATTTTGCACCAAATGTCCAGGTATTTAAAAATCTTAAGCATTTCGATGAAAATCGGTTTAAAAACAATGATCGATTAAAACTGACTGTAAACAAGGGATACCAGATACTGGATGACGCAAGTCCAGGAAAAGAAAATCCTATGATGGTTTTAATTTTTTAAATAAACTTCGCAATACAAATTCGACGTTCACTTTTCATTAAATCTGTATCTGTACCTCGAACTATGGGTACGTACGGGTACGGGTTTACCTATGGGTAAATCTATGCCTTGTTTGTACGCAACAAAAGCATATCGAGATTTTAAAGCATGGAACTATCAACGGTGCGTTACAACGTGCTATGTACTATTCAGGACTCACCATCATGAGCTGCTCCTCGTGCGCCGCCGTCCACCCTTGAGATGCGGCCCTGCGCGCGCTCGGCCTAGGCAGCATCGGGGAAGCCCCTATCGAACGGTCCCTGGTGGCCTCCCGCATGGCTTTCCGTATCCGCGCTTCCTTGGGATTGTACACGTAATCTGGAACAAAAAGTACGCTTCCTGAGGACTAATTCGGATTAGATTCGCGTACCCATTATTTTTTTGTTTTCGTCAATTACGTGATGTAACAATAACATGTTAAAGACGGAGGAGCATTTTCCTCGTCCAGATTTAAAAATATTTTCTGATGTAAATATTTGCCCTCGTTAAAATTTTGAAAAAAAATGTTATGTCTCTAAATATCCTCTGAAGAAATAGAAACGATATTTTGTGTACACAAAACATTAATAAAACGTATGGATAGCTTTCAATGAGAAAAAATTAACAACTCAACTCAATGGTAGGTATAGATAGGTATGGTGGAGACCTGTGGAGTCTGCTGGTTATATGTATATATTTTTAATTGTTGACGTCAAATTACGATAATTGAACTTAATTTGTCTTATTTGAATGTTGCTCCTTCTCAATCTACACTGTTAAAAGTCAAAAAAACATTAGCCATGGTTTTTAAAGTTACAAATTATGAATACAGTAACTGTATAGTAGTCACTTCTAGGGAGACATGTTACACTTTCCTATCAGTGTAAAATTATCTTTCGGTGTCAAAATTGTCTATCTATTGGCACTTGCTAACCAAAAAAGTATTAGCGATATTTAAAAACATAAGAAATTTTAATTATCTTTAAAGTACTTTCCAAATTCATTTAATGAATATACTTGAATACCGTCTGTGTTTTATTTCATGTTTGTACTATTTTCTTCCTACTTATACACTTTTGCAACTTTAATTGTGATCATTGTTTAAATAAATTTTATAGCTGTAACAATATGCGATATACATTTTGTCAAATACAATGTTAAAAAATTTGTATACATTTTTAACAGTAATGTGGTAAAAAAAATTGTGGAAAATCTATGAAATTTTAAAATTTTCTTACCGTTTGTGTAACATAGTAATGTAAAAAATAGAAAGTGAATATATTTGACAAAACTGTAGGAAAGTTAAATACAAAATTTTAAATATCTTCTAAATACAGGGTGTGTTCCAAAGTAAACAGGGCTTTTAAAAAGTAGGTATTTCAAGTGAGACCATCTATTGGCAATTTTATAAGAGCTTACAAAAAATACCACCTGGAAATAAAAAATATGGTGATATAGGAAAAAAAATTGTAAGAAAGATAGTGAATTTTTCCAGTGGCGCATAAACGGCGAAGTTAACCTAAAAAATTTATAAATGTCAAAAAACGGTTTTTAGTTAATAAAAAAAAACTTGAACTCCAATCGAAAAAAGTTAAATGAGAAAGTTGTAGCTATTGAAAAAACCTATCGATTCGTATTTTTAAATATATATCGATTGCTATATTACTTTTCGAGATATAACGAAAAACCGTTAAAATCGCCTTTTGTTGTTTTTGCTGTATCTCTTGCAAATTAAGGTTTTGAAACTTGTTACTTTCCCTTTTTTTAAATTATAAAATATTAAAAATTTTTCGAGTTATAACGATTTTTCGAAAAAAGGTCATTTCGAAAATCGGCTCTTCTTGCTCGAAGAATAGTCGTAGAGAAACGAATTAGGGCTCATTTTTTTCTTAAGAGTTGTACTTTCATGGTAAAAAAGAGTGATAATGATTTTATTAATTTCAAGCGTTCAAAGCGAAACTGAATATACAAAGAAACAAACTAATGGCATTTTATATGTATATTTAATTTATTTCTAATTCTATAGATAGGTCACTCTGCTTAGGCAGAATAAAAATGATTAAATTCATATTAATTTTACAAGTAGCAAAAACTATTTTTAGACGAAATTAGATATAAACGCAATTGAGGAAAAATCCATTAGCATAGTCAGATATTAAATTTTTAAAATGGTGAACCAATAAAATCAAATTTGATAACGAAACAATAAGTAGACTCAAAATAGTTTTTAATAGTTTTTCAAGTACAATTAAAAAAAAACTAATTACATTGGACAATAAATACCTCTTTTTACAAACGCGATTCCATTTAAAATGGGTCAATTGTATTTTATTAATTCCAATATATTTATATTACATACATACATACATGTGTAGGTGTTGGGTGTTGATATCTCGCGGCGAATGAATTATTATTACTTTTACCATCACATATTGGCGTATTCAGTGCCGCACAGCCCAAAAGGTTGTTTCACGTCAATAACGCAGTTACCTTGCAGATCAATAGTCTCTAAAAAATCACATCGAGCCGCGTTTTCATGTAGTACAAACGCTCTTTTCAACTGTAATAAACCGTAGCATAAAAAATGTTATCACCTAAACTATGCCGACGCCGCCAGAGAAAATTGCGAAAAAGGGATAAGGGGAGATGGGGGCAATCTCAGAGTGCGTGCTAATGTGATATTGATAAAACGAGAAGCATAAAGCTGTTGTTTCTTTGTCTTTTTCAGACGTATTTGTTAATAGTTTGTTATAGACAGTGCAAAAATAATTAGTTGTAGATATTCGATCTTCTATTGTAACATCTTACATTTATGAATAATTGATTTTCCAAGTTCAAATAGCTCATATTTAGGATCATGAGATGTCCACCGTGTGATTTCATTTTGAATATTTAAAAATATAGATCATAAAATGCTTTTGGTGTTGCATAATTGTCATTCATTCAATTGTCAATCATTACTGATGTTGACCTCTGACATTGACCTAACGTAGCTAACTATACTACTGCCACTACGTCAAGTAGATAGAGACGCATTTAGGAAAGTTAGAAACAGGTAATATTCAGATTAAATAATACGGTTCTACTCTTTTTTCTTATTCAGCCATATCAGCAACCTCTGGGTGTAAGACATATTAAATTAATCCAAAGTAAACAAACCAGCAACAAATTTAAATCGTGAACAGTTTAAATTTAAGTAGAATCCGATCCTGTTCCGAACGTTTACGAAGTGCAACGGAGGTTAGCCTCCGCTGTTCAGTTAAAATTTCATACAGCCGCCTTTGAAAAGCAGCTTCTGCCAGTCGGGTATGGCTGGATAGATATGTCATCACCGGAAAATTTCAAGGCACGCCTCCACGTTCCGATATAAATATCGTAAAGAATGTATTATAATTTTTTTACTAGTTTTTTGGTTGTTTCGGGAACTTTGTTTATAGTAAATAAAATAAATATAAATAAAAAGTGTATTTAGTAATGACAATTAAGACAGCTTTTTCAATTAAATATACCTCTAAAAACAATAAATATTTAATTGTACCTAGTAAATACGTTGATTTTTGCTATAGAACATATTTTTTACGACTAAATACGGGTATTTCAGGAGGAATAGTCAATACTTTAATATGTTATAATATCGTTTATTTTGAACAAAGAGTTCATATGATTGTGTGTCCAAATGTCTATGGTTACTTAGATACAGCCAGTGGAAATAAAACACACGCGAATATCATTCTATTAATTTTAATAACCAATATTTGACATACAAAATAGCGTTTTAACTTTTAGAGATTAAAGAAATGTTTCGAAAGTTCTACTGCCAAACTCCGCCACTTCGCTGATCTAATGAAAATTTTGCGTATCCTGCTGTGCAATTTTTCCGGGTGTCGCTTTATTCTCGTTGCACTGACCATAATGCGAGCGATCAGTTCATCACGCGTATTTACATTTTCTCTATAAACATCACTTTTTATCCATCCCCATAGTCCATATTCTAATGGAGTTAGGTCTGGAAACCTAGCTGATGGAACCACCACAACCAATTCACTGGTATCCAAAAGCTTGATTTAGATATTGTGTCACCTGATGGCTCTAATGAGCGGAAACGTCATCATATTGGAAAATCGTACTGGCCTTTGTGGCCAAGGGAATATCCTATAACAATATTGAAAATTCATTCCGCAAGAACTCTAAACAACTTGTTGTTTTTAGACGTTCGGGTAATTAATTTATTGTCAATCATTCCGGCCCAGATATTTTCGGAGAATCTTTGCCGAAAATTTGATTCTACAGTGTGGGTTGTCGTCAGTCCAACGGTGACTATGGCGTTATTAATACCCTTACGATTAAAAGTCGATTCATCGGTAAAAAGTATCAATGAAATAAGTTGACGATTAGCATTTATACACTCACAAAATTCCAATCTCTTAGCATGATCTCTTGGTTCAAGGTGTTGCACTCGTTGGACATGGAATGGATACAAGCCTTGCTTGCGCAATGTTCGCCATCCTCTTACATGAGGAACTTCGAAAGAAATTATTCTTATGTTTTTAGAAGGACTGCGTTTTACCAATTGAAGAATAATTTCTACTTCATTCACATTTTGTTCATGTGCACGTTCAGAATGAAAACGACTACTTGGAACAAAGTCCGTGTTTCGTAATGTGTCGAATGTTCGAATAAATGCTCTTGAATCTAATAACACTCGGATAGGAAATAGTCTTCGATATTCTCTACGACCAGCAGGTGCCTTTCCATTGCAAAACCCATAACAAATCACCATATTAGCGTATTCAGCGTGAGAAAAAATGTGTGGCATTTCAAATAAATTTCACACATACATACGTCAACAAATCAATGATAAATGTCAATAATTTGGTGGGAGCCTACTCGATAATTTATCTGTTTTGCACTCGACGCAATCGACATTAAAATTGCTGTATCCCAATAATATTTAAACACATGCACATTAACTTTTTTATTCAAAATGAACGATACTATAACATACTGAAGTATTCGTAACTTCATCCAAATAACACAAAGAAATATTTAATTCGTCAAATACAAGCAAATTGTCTAATAAATTTAATTTGTTCCAATTAAATCCTTTCCTTAGTATGAAAAAGGTGGTTAACAAGTTACGTAGACTAGAGTAATTCGACTTTAAAGCTTAACGATGTTTACCCCATTCGCCCCCACACCCACCGTGAGCAGACACTCGTCATCACTATGAGCACCGGAAAATTAATTATATGCCAAATCGATCGCCAGAAGGTCGGAAATGTGCTGCTACATGAATTAAATATTCATATACTTCGCCGCGAGAAGAAAATACAGATTAT